TTGACCCAGGACAAACCACTCTATGGGCATGAGTGTCAAATCCCATTCAACCATACACACAAGTAAGAGGCTACCCTTTCTGGCTTTTTTGTCAAAAGTTTGGAAAATGCCCCAGCCCTGGCTGGTGTAACTCAGTGGACTGAGTGCAGGCCTGCGAACCAAAGGATCGCGGTTCGATTCCCAGTCAGGGCACATGCCTGGGTTGCAGGCCAGTTCCCAGCAGGGACACAAGAGAGGCAACCATACACTGATGTTTCTCTCCCTCTCCCCTTCCCCTCTAAAGATAAAAAAATAAATAAATAAAAATAAAATAAAATAAAAGTTTGGAAAATGCTATACATTATACTCATTCCTTTTTGGAGATTCACTTCAAAGGTTTCGAGAAGTCCAACAGTAAATTATCAGTTTAACATTGTTTAACCTCAAGTTTCCCCCATTTCTTGGGCCACTTTGTAATGGAACACATTTTAGAGAGCAGTAATTTAATCACTTCATTTCCCATTCTCTTTTCCTATATGAGAATTTTGACTTTGAGATCTTGAACATTTGCTAATGCCAAGCAAAATCATTTACATCAATATACATGAGAAAAAGTAATCCAGCTGATCTTTCTTCTCCACATGAAAATTTATTCTACTTTTTGGGATTTATGCAAGGCAGCATATTAGAAACTGTGTGTATTTGGGGGATTACAGAGGTTAATTATCTACTTTTTTGAGTTTTTAAATATATTCTTTGATAAATCTGCATTATACTCCTATAGCACTGTGCCTATCTCAACCAAAATCTCTCAGATCCCTCATAACTATCTATATTAAAAACCCAAATTCTTTCACCAGGGCAAAGAGTCCCATGCAATCTGGCACCTGCCAACCTCACTTCCTACCTTCTCCTTGTCTGGCCTCACACTATATTCCAGCCACAAAAACCTTCTTTCTGTTTCTTGAACCAGCCAAGACAGTTCTCACTGCCTGTAATGCTGCCCCTCCTTCTAATTTGATAGGCAGGACCATTCAGCTGTCAGCCATCAACTCTTCAAAGGGGCCTTCCACACCTACCACCTACCTCATCCGTGTTATACTGTTAATAGCATTAATCCTCAGCTGAATTATCTTTGACTTGTTACCTCTTATTTGTAAACTCCTTATGGCAGGAACTTTGGATGTCTTTGTGCTCAGGACCTTCACCACTGCCTGGCACATAGACGTTCAGTAAGTATTTGTTGCATGAACTAATGGATGAGTCAGTATGTCAAGTCTGCCAGCTAGAACACAGATTCCCAGTGTGAACTGGAGACCATTATTCTTTGAAGATGAGCTATTAGCAGCCCCAACAAAATGTAGGAACTCAGTTACATCTGTCATATAAACAAAGGACCGACTTGCCTGCCGTAATTAATTTCAGTTCATTCTAAGGAACTTCAAGAAAGAAGTGAATTTGAAATCTGTCCTGTGTTACTGTTCACATATGGCAGTGCTTCTACTTCTGTCCCAGGGCTTTGCACTCACTGTCCCACCTGCTGACAGCTCTGTACATGCAGCGCTGCATGGCACACTGCCCACTTCATTCAGGTCTCTTTTACAGTGTCATCCCTTTTCAGAGATGCCTTCCTGGACTGTCCTCTCTGAAGAAGCACTCACCCCTGCTGCTCTCCATTCCTTTACTCTATTTTTCCAAGTAAATTTTATCAAGTGTATAAATTTGCTTTGTCTGCTGTGCTTTTCCCTTCACTAGACTGTAAGCTCCCAGAGCAGGGACTTGGTGTTTTGCTCACCGCAATCTTCCTAGAGCTTCACAACAGTGATGGGCACCTACTATACATATCAGTTGTACTATATGCAAAAGCTACATATCCTGGACTAATTTTTCCATCAAAAGCACTATCACTCTTCCCCTTTATTCTGGTCAATTGTGACAAACGGTTAGAGGTGGAGACAACTGACAGAAGAACACATGATAGAACAACCCTAAAATGACAAAGCTGAGGTGCTAGGACTATTTTTAGGTGTTTTTTTAAAAAGTGTATGGGGGGGGGGTGTATGTGTGTATGGGGGGGATGGTGTTAAATAAATATGCATGCTACAATCCCTGAAAGTTAAAATACTACATAGGTCCTAGAATTTTAATGTTATAGATATGGAGCTAAATTCAACAAACCCTTTTTATATACCCCTAGTGATAATGACTGTAAAACAGAATTGTAAGCTTAGTCCTGATTTGGGAAAGTATAATAGGTAATTTTAGAAAATACTACACAGGAATTCCCAATATATCAGCAAGATCGAGAGCTAATTATCTTAACTGGCCACAGGTGAAGGTTCTTTGCCCCTTTAAAATATTAGTTATATATAAATGTAAGAAGTGTTATTGACTTTAAAATAAAGACTCAAACTAAAAATAGAAGATTCAAGCCCTGGCTGGTGTAACTCAGTGGGCTGAGCACGGGCTGTGTACCAAAGTGTAGCTGGTTCGATTCCCAGTCAGGGCACATGCCTGGGTTGCAGGCCATGTCCCCACTTGGGGGTACACAAGAGGCAACCACACATTGATGTTTCTCTCCTTCCCTTCCTCTCTCTCTAAATATAAATAAAAATGAAATCTTAAAAAAAAAAGGAAGATTCATTACTTTGCCTTTAAATAAGGGGTGATACTTTTTCCACCCCTCCAATCCAAAGCTATCTTTGGAAATCCCTAACAACACACACACACACACACACACACACACACAATGTACCACAATAAATCAATGACAGACGTATCTAATTTCTAAGTTCTTCCTGTTGAATAGATGACTGGACCTAAGTCTAGCCTCTTCCCATAGGCCCTCAGTCATAGATGAAGATTTCTGGAATAAAAGCTTGCTTTCCAATGCTGTTTCAGACATCTGTGACATGAGCTAATCCAAGAAGCGAGCTTTTTCCTTAGTTATTTGCTCCACATTAGAGAACCATCCCCGAGGCCCTACGTCTGGGGAAAGGGAACAAGATCCAAACATATCCCCAACACCACCCCGCCCCACCCTCTGCTTTCAAACCACAGGAACATACCACTCAGACTCAGATTCAAACTCTTTACGTTCCTACCAAGCGATCCCTGGATACCTCTCCCTTCTCATTCGATACTACAGCAAGCTGGATATTCCTCAAATATTCCATTATCCCAAGCTTGCCCCTGTCCTTGAGCTCTTATACAATACTTTCCATTCCCTGTGCGAGGAATATTGTTCCGTACCGTTCTATGACTGGTCTCAGCTCAAATGTCACCTCCTCAGAAGCCTTCATTTGTCACATCACCCTGTCCCTTGTCACATATGCAATTACTTAATTCATTTATCTGTATTCTTGCTTCTCTCCCTCACTGACATAAGCTACCCAAAGGAAGGAACCTCGTCCATTTGTTTCTTCACTGTATTCCCAAAGATTAACGGGCTGCTCGATAAAGTCATGAAATGAAAAGAGGAACAAATTAACTCAGGAACTAGAGCAGTGTTCTCAAACCTGTTCAATCCTGTAGAGAAAATGTTTTCCCTCGGTCCCAGCCCCCACCTAGCAGAAATCAAAGTAACCACAAGGGGAGAGAGAATCCCCTTACACTGATGGAAGAACTGAAAGACAGAGACAAAGAGTCTTAAGAGGGAAGAGACTAGACTAGATCAAGAGTTCCAGGAATTATGCAAAAAACAAAGACACAAAAAGGGGGCCAAAAATTCAAGTATGGGGGCCCAAAGGAGAAAATGAGCACTGGTGAGATCCAAGAGTAAAAAAAAAATCGCCTTCTGTGCCTCCAAAGAATAATACTTGTGCACCTCTCATGTGGCAAGCACTGGCCACCTGGAAACAGCAGTAAACAAGATGGGCAAAAGCAAGGTTCTCGCTCTTGGCTGTCGAGAAAGGCAATACACAAGTAAGCAAACTATCGAGTGATTATAGATAACGTTCAATGTTATGAAGTAAATAAAACTAGGGTGCTATGATGAAGAGTTGAAGAGTTTATTCAGCTAAACTGAATAAAACCTGAAGGATAGGGAGCCAGCCTTGCAAACATCTAACGTTGGTAATTCCCAAGAAAACGTGAGGCGCAACCAATCGCTTCCTGGTGGGCAGGTCGGTCAGTGTGGCTTAAGTGGCTAAAGAGATGGGTGGGGAGGAGGAAAGGGGTCACCGGAGGCGGGACTCGGTCAACCACGGTAATAACTCAGCGCATCCTCACAGCCAATTTCACAGGCAGACTGTTTTCAACCCCGTTTTGCAGATAAGGAAATGGAGGCTGGGGCAGAGGCGGTGACTACCCCGAGGGTGAGGCTAAATCTGGAACCAACCCAGGCGCTCCAACGCCAAAGCCCAGGCTTCGAACTACCAAGCCATATAGCATTTTCCCCCAAGCGGAGCACCCCGTATGGACCAGAATTTAACCCTCACAAACAACTCAGCAAAGTGAGACTACGGTGCCCACTTTACAATCGGGGAGGCTGAAGCACACTGAGGTTACGCTCCCTTTTCTCCTTAAAAACGTGAGTCCAGGGAACAGGCGGTCAGGTGGCGACCCGCATCCTCCGCTCCACAACCCGACCGGCGTCGACGCTGCTCTCTGCTCACGTTGAGGAGCGCCGGGAGCCCAGAGAACGGACGCGCGGCCGTGACCAATGAGAGACGGCCTTCCCGAGGGACCAGCAGCGGCGCGACCAATCAGAGCGGCGCTGGAGGGGAAGGGGCGGGAGACGGGCCGTGCTAGGCCGCGCCGCGGCTGCTCTCGCCTCCTCCAGGCCCGGGGCCGCCCGGTCTAGGCCGAATCGCCGAGAGGCTGCGAGATAAGGCGAGGGCGGCGAGCGAAAGCAAAGACTCCATCCGAGGACTCTGCCAGACATATGGGCCCACATTCCGCTCTCGTCCAGAGGCGCGGTCCTTGCTCCCCAGCGCTAAGAAATGCAGGGACCGCTTTATCCCTCTCCCAGCGGCATTCCCAGAGGCCACCTCGTCAAGCCGTGCACTCCCCGACCTTACCTCGTGGAAATACACGAATGGAGAAGAAAATCTCAGCCGCGGACTGTACCTGCCACCACCCACTCCTGCCACCGCTCCACCTCACATTCAAACCCCGGCAAAATGGCGCGGCAGCGAGGCTGCGGTAGGGGCGCATGCGTGAACAGTGCAGAGGCAGGGGGCGGGGCCAAGGGTGCTTCGGCCCCACTGAAGTTTTCGAATGACCAATCTCTAGCTTGCGTGACCCAGCTCTGTGTTTGCGCTGACGTCACAAGCCACAATGCCGTTGGGTTCAGACAGTTCCAGCGGGCATCACAATCACCGTTTTCCTGAAACGAATAGATTCAGTGAGTGGCTGCTGGATTGTGACCTATTTTGATGTCAGGGCTTGATATAAGGCTAGTAGTGAGTCTTATATAACTTTTGAACTCAGTGCCCAAAGTCCTGTCCTTAGCGTCTCGGGCAGAAGAGAACTTCTTGCCCCTCATGGAGCTTATGTTTTAGAAGGAGAAATGGAATGGACAAGTAAGATAATTTCAGATATTGGTAAGTGCTATGAAGAGAAAATTAAAAGCAGGATGATATGGCAGGCAGTGACTTGGAAGGTCAACGGGATAGAGAAGATGTCTGAACGGGTGAAAATTGACCTGAATTGCAACAAGCGGACAGCTGCAAGCATCTCAGCCTGGAGAGCATTTCAGGAAGAGGGGATGTCAGTGCGAAGGCTCTGAGTCAGGAATGAGCTAGGCTCGGCTTTAATGAAGTGGAGCATGTCTGGACGTGATGCCAGGCCAGGCCAGATGATGTAGGCCAGGGTTTGAACTAGGTCTGTATAGGACCACCAAATTTATATATTTTTCCTTTTATTTATTTATTTTTATTGAATTTATTTGGGTGACATTGGTTAATAAAATGATTTAGGTTTCAGGTGTACCATTCTACAATACATCATCTGTGTATTGTACTGTTTGTTTACCTTTCCATGTTGTGTCCTTCTGTAACCATTTATCCCTCTTTTTAACACTTCTACCTCCCTCTTCCCTCTGGCAATCACCATGCTGTAGTCTATGTCCATGAGTCTTTTTTTCTTCAGGTCTTAAAACTTTTTATCTGCATATTTAAAAAATTGTGCATTCTAATAATTAAAATCATTTTAACAAAAAAATGGCACTCTGATTAAACTGCATTTTACATTCTTCAGGACACCTTGGACCAACTTCGTTTTTACTTAGATTTCACTGCCTTCCCACCCAGCTTCTTCCTTCATCAACATACAAGTTCTTTTTCTTCCCTGCCAGCCAGGGAGGCAGATGGGAGAGGCAGGTGTGGCCTTCATTGTCAGTAGTTCTTATGTGAAAAGAGGCAGCACAGTCATTTAAACTGATCCAACCTCTTCGCAGCTTACAAAGTTAAACAGCTAAAAGAAGTAAAATAAGAAGGCAATGTTTGTGGAATGTACAGTGCATATTGGTGGTTTGGGCCTCATTACGATTTGCTTACTTGCTTCTTCTGTTCAGTTGTTTCTTTGGAAAGCAGTGGATGTTTCTCCTGCATTTCTGTCTTCTTCAGATTCAACTTACCGAGTTTCTCAATCTCAGCCATATCGGGTTGATCAGACATGTTCTCTGAGGAAGCCAAGGGAGGTGCACGAACGAGAGAAGAGTCTGATCTGCTCGGTGACTGCGCCGAATCAAGTCTTTTTCTTTGCCTAATCCCTTCACCCTTCTCACCCATCCCACCAACCTTCTCCCTTCTTGCAGGTGTCAGTGTGTTCTCCGTATCCATAAGTCTGTCTTCACCTTGTTAGTTTATTTTGTATAAATAAAGATTCCACGTATAAGTGAAATAGTAATTTCTTTATTGATTTTAGAGAGAGAAACATCAATTTGTTGTTCCACTTATTTACCCATTCATTGATTGCTGCTTGTGTGTGCCCTGATTGGGCACATGCAACCTTAGTATATTGGGAAGATGCTCCAACCAAACGAGTTACTTGGCCAGGCCTACCAAATTGATATTTTAAGAGACCCACCAGTTACTGCTTGGAGAAAGGACTGTATGGGGGGAAGAACTTGAAGCGGGAGACCAGTGAGAAGGCTGTAGGAGGCATCCAGGCAGCTGTAATAGCCTGGGATGGGGAGTGTAGCATGAATATGGAGAGAAGAGAACAGCTTCAGGTCTATTTTAGAGGTAGAGCCCTTAGGATCTTATGGTACACTGAATGCGGGAAAGAGAGGAACCAGAGGTGACCAATGGAAATCCCAGCTCTTAGTTTTGGCCTCCTTCTCCCTCTTCCACAGGCCCAGCAATCTGTCCACTCACAGTACATCCCATGGAACTGCTAGCTTGCTACTCCTGAGATTGAAAGTTACACTGTTTGGTCATCATTCAAGGAAACAAATATGAAAACACAAAATTATATAGACACTGAGAACTGCAGAGTTCTCAACACATAACGAATGACTGTCCAAACCTCTTCCGTAAAAGGTGACCAAGCTTCAACGTGGCATCTAGCAGCTCAATGCTGCTAGGAAAACTTACTGTTTTTCTAGCCAGCATCGGAGGATAGGCCCCAACCTCCCTTTGTTACAGCTGTTACCAAAAAGGGCTTATAATTGTAAATTTTGCCCCTGTCCCTTTTACAATTCAGGTGTGTCCTTCCTAAGGGCCTGAAAGCCATTCCTTTGCAATCTGATCAGGTAGGTAGATTCTGGAAGCCTAACTTTAGTAAATGCCAGCTAACAGACACAGCTGGCATAATCACTGTTTTTTAAAAGATTTTATTTATTTTCAGAGAGAGAGAGGAAAGGGAGGGAGAAAGAGGAGGAGAGAAACTGATCTGAGAGAGGAACATCAGCTGACTGCCTCTCCCAAGCCCCCAACCAGGGACCTGGCTCGCAACCCAGGCCTGTGCCCTAATTCAGAATTGAACCAGTGACCTTTCAGTTCACAGGCTGGCACTCAGTCCACTGAGCCACACCAGCCAGGGCTGGCCTAATCGCTTATTTACTCATCAGCCCTTTGTAACTTTTCATTGGGCCCCTGATTGCCCCCCTACTCCCTCACTTTCCCTTTAAAATACCCAATCAGCTCTGCAGAAGTCAGAATGGAGTTCAGCTTTCTCCCCTACTGTCAGTAGTTATGAAGAAAATCTGTTTTCCCCGTGTTAACAATGGCTGTGTTTAGCTTTGACAGCACCTGTCACATATAAAAGTAATTCCTATGGATAAAATGTAAAAAGTTCTACTTGAGTAAAAAAGGTTATGGACATAAGGGGTTTTTGGTTAAGGATTTATTTATTTTTTAGAGAGAGGAAGGGAAGAAGAGAGGGAGAGAAACATCAATGCGTGGTTGCCTCTTGCATGCCCCCACTATTGGGGACCTGGCCTGCAACTCAGACTTGTGCCCTGACTGGGAATCTAACTGACAACCCTTGGGCTCGTAGACCGGCACACAATCCACTGAGCCCCACCAGCCAGGGCTATGTCCTTATTTTTAAAATGCTCTTTATCTGATGTTCTCTGAGACACATACAAGTCTCCCATTAGGATTCTGGCTTTGTCATTGTGCAAGTTACTTTAGTGGGCTTTTGATTTCTATTTTGAAGTTATTAGGTATTTAAAGGTTTGTTCCATTTCCTTTTAATAAAGCCTACCATTGGACAATGTGTTTTATGAAAAAATGTATTAGATTGATATAAAACTTTGAAATATTTAGACTTAACTGCACATGAACCCACATTTTTATCTGCTCCAGAGCTGGCAGATGGCAGTACTACGCTGTGCTCTCAGCCCATGGGGGCCGTGCCCTAACAGATCTCCATCTGTCTGCAGATCCATTGTGGGAGATCCTTCCCTAGGGAGGGACTGAAGGGAGCATCAGGGATGCAGTGAAGGAGAGATGAGGACAAGCGCTAAAGGCTCCCGAGCACTGAGAGGTGGTGTGGGCAGTGTTTTCAAGAGGCATGTTCTAGAGCCAGACTGCAGGCTTTGAATCTACCTGTGTGGCCTTAGGCAAGTTCATTGACCTCTCTGAGCCCCAGGTATGCTCTATACAAAAGTGGGGTGTCATGATAATAGTACCTAACCTTATGACGTGGTTGGGAGAACTAAGGGAAAGATGTGTGCAGAGCAAATGCCTGGCACAGTAAGAAACCAATACATGGTTATTATTACTACTTGTCCTGCTGCCAGTGCAATCACAGAAATGAAAAAAAAAAAAAAGGCTGAACAATGATTGACAGGGCAAGAGCACATCAAACTATCAATAGGGAAGCCTAGCATGCGTCAAGTTCTCTCTTTCCTCCTCTGGGGGGAAGGAGAGGGGGGAGTTAGACCGGAAAAGTCCAGGGAATGTAGAGCTCCAACCTAGAGTCCTTTTGACACTTGCAGCCTTTGGAATAATCAAGGGCTGGGCGCCTTCCAGAGAACTCTCTGAGGGAAGTAAGTGCCTAGGGCAGGTGTGGAGGGGACGTGGGCCTTCGGGCAGCGGCCTCCTCTTCATGCTGAGCGGTGGCAAATGGAGGGTGGAAGTGCCAGGAATCCAAGAAATCAAGCACAGGAAACGACCTAATTCCCTTGAATGTGTGCACTGTTCTGTGATCATCCTAGGATTTCTGGTACTGCACTCCAGCCGGTGAGATGGTCGCACACAAACCAGCTATGGTTCCTGCCTTCACGCACTTACATTCTGCGGGGGGCGACGGACCTCAGACAGCCCACTGCAGCTGGCGTGGGCTCTGAGGAGGCACGAAGAAGGCAGCTGAGGGGTTCGTGCTTCGCCTGAACCCTGGAGGAGAAACCAGCCGTGGAACAATCTAGGGAGAGAGCACTGCAGGCAGCGGAATATGAAGGGGCAAAAGCCCTCAAGCAGGCGTGACTGTGAACGCTAAAGTCAGAAATTGGCGAATTTTCAGTTGTTTAGTGAAGTGGAAAGATGAAGGCAGTGCGTGAATTGATGGGAGAGAAGTAAAACTAGGGCCAGAAGACAAGGGCTTATTGGCCCAACGTCAGCATTTGTTCACTTCCTCTTACCTTCTCTCTGGAAGTCAGTTCCTTTCCCCTGCTTCTAAATAATCATGAAAAGGTGCAAGGTATGACCCTCCAAAAGCTAGTGTAAGGGACCTGGTAAATACTGTTTCT